GAAATGACATATTCCTGATATTCATCAAAGAGAAAAAGGGCTTACTGATCTCTTTAAGATTTATACCTTTCTGATGCAGTCAGCGATTTTCTGTTTTCATGAAATATAATTTTTAAACGAATTAAGCATGCCCTTAGATTGTTCCAATATTAGGTTTGTAGATTATAAAACGTCGATGGATACTTCAATATGAAGAAGACTATGATCGGTGTATCTCTACAAACATAACGTAATAGTGATAAATTGCACCAAAAGAAGACACGTCTCTTGAAAAACAACTTCCTGTAAAGGACACATGTATACCACAAGTATTTTGTACTACAATTTCTACTAAAAAATATCAAAATGCTTTATTTGTACAATTTAATTGGAGGACACACAGGAACTATTTTTAAGCCAGTTTTCATAAGAATTGACAATATTACTGAACCTTCAACAATACAACATTTAAACAAAATGTAGAGAAAAAACGTAACGTAATACATAATCATCAAATGTGTGCAAAACGGGAACACACCGTTTGAATCATGGACAAATGGTAAAGTCACTTAACAATGTTAAGACCTGATGTGCCAACAGTCAATAAATGTACAGAATTAGTATAGCAAATAAAAATATCTTTTAATGTTCCCACTCTTTCTGAATTAATAAACTGTATAGCCAAAATTAAAATTAAAACATAAAAAAAAATTTACAAGAGCACCACAAAAACGAGCATCCCCTCATAAAGAGCATGTCTGTAAATGAAGACAGCATTCGACATCAGTCCTGATGCAAATCGCGTCACTTCTTTGGCACAAGAACAAACCAACAAATACTAACACACCTTAGCACACTACTTTATCTATTCAACTCTATTGCGAGGGGGAAAAAGACACCTTAGCAACTGGTTTAGAAATTGATTGAATATTTAGGATTTACGCTGAACACTGATACATGTACATGTACTTCAGAATTATATCTAATCGAAAAGTGCAAAAAAAGTTAACTTGCCATTTTGTATTTGATTCTAATTTAGAGGACAGAACATATCATATTTACGAAAATCAAAAACAAGGATTATAGTCCTATATTAATTTTCTCTATTAGCTCAAACTTGATCACATGATGAATTATAAAATAGCATAGACTTGTGTTACTATTATAGATTTTGAAAAGCGATACATAGGCTTTTATTTCTCGAATCATGTACTAAGTATATTGTTAAGCTTTTCCTTCGCTCGGCACCAAATCTCATGATACGTAAGTTAACCAACATATACTTAAAACCTATATCTGTTAAATGGAAGTGACACTCGATATCTGTTAAGGTCTCTCTAAAATGAATATTCTACTCTGTTATTTATTTACATTTTCCTGTTTTTAGAATTTTTAGCTTCAGACGCAAAATGGAAGTTATTCTGACCCTTCTTTGTTCTTTTCCAACTTGGTGCAGTCAATGTTCAAAGGTTGTCATCGATAAAGCCGTTATTGTGACAAATTAGTAGACTGGGAGCAATGTACCACTGCCATGAAGTATGATATGACAGTGATGAGTAGTCCTACGAAGATTCTTCTTTATGAAAACACAACTTCCTGCTGTGAGGGACGCATAATTATTACATGTATGTACATTAAAGGTATTAGAAACTTGATATTGTATGTAATTATTGTGTTTTGAGTTCGAATGCTGTTTTTTATCTCCACATACTTCATTTTTTAATATTCATAATTTATATTTGACTATGCAGTATTTATATCTTTTGATCACATTCAAACACTAAAAACTTCGATTTGAAAAAGCTTGTTAAACGTTTAGTGATACAACTTTTATATCTACATTTAAATTCATGATAATCTAACATTTTTTCTACATATATACTCACATTATCTAGTGATGGTGAACTTACTCTTGATAGAAATGGTTTCACACTAATTAAGTATCAATGTTACATAAAGGAATTGGAACACAGTGCAAAATAAAACCAAAAATGCCCATACAGTAACAGACATTAACATTTTTTGTGAAATTATAACCCAAAATTCATGAATTAGGATGACATATATGATTCAAAATTTAATATCTAAAACACCCCTATTAGGGAACATAAATTCCACCTTGAAACTTGTATAGCACTCCTATGATAAGTTGATAACCCCTTGTGATCTTTAGACAACAAAGCTTTCTAGCCCGATCGGATGCGTTTAAAACGGCATATCCGTAAGAACACTATGCAAAATAACAGTCTTCAGCTGATTCCTGCGCTTTGAGAGAAAGGCGATCATGACTCTATAGGTAATTTTTAATATTTAAATTTAAACTGAATGGAGCTGAAACCAGATTTATTATTGGAATTGTCTCTTAATAGAACAAGTTTGCTTCTTTATTTTTTATACAAACTCTTGATTTGGAATATTTACAGGTATTCGAAAGTTACTCCCAAGAATAATTGATATCCAACTAGTTTTACTCAATATTTTATCCCGATTTATTTGAATATAGTTGGAAGATACGGCACGAGAGTTAACATAATAATGAAATTATTTGCTCTTGTATTTGTTTTCTCTCTTTTTTCAACAGATTTGGAAGACGAAGACTCGTTTGTTAATTTCACAATAGTAACGATGTGAAATATAATATATTTATATAAAAACATCTTGTTTGCATAAAATCTTTATAATTAATACGAGGACACCCAGCCTCGCTTTATATGAGTGAAAAATGCTATCTACGTTCAATATAACTGTTTGTACAACCAAATTGAGTAACGTGTTAGCATTAGCGGAGTACTTTATCCTTTAAAAAATGGTGATTCAGTGCTTATGTTTACATATTTAAACTACTTGCCATGAATTCAAATAAGATTTATAATTCAAAATTCGTTTTTTATCCTTTCGGTAAATAACAATTAATGGGACCGAATGGGGTTTTATTGTGCGAAAACTACAATAGCGAAACTCTTCAATTTTTTAACATATCTTACTTACATTGACTTCAGTGTACATGCCAGGTTTGGGGAAAATCTACCGTCCAGGTATTTTAAATGGACCGTCTCAAAATACAGGTTCATTTACTGTAGGATTTTATAGGAGAGTATCAATTTTTTGCACTTTAAAGGAAATTATACAAATACTACAAAAGACTTTTTGCTCAGATTATAATATATGATTTGTAATACTATATTGTACATTATATGCAAGAAATACAAAATACTACCGTCAGGTTTCCAGAGTGGGCATCTGAAAATGTGAAAAATTAACGATTAATTCTGTTTTTATGGAGTTGTGCAAACTATGACGGATACAAAGGATAAGTAGTAAAAAAAAAACAAACAGAAAATGATCAAGAGATTCTCAAATTCTTATGCCTTAAATTTCAAGAGCCCATGTTGAATAATACTTTTATGACATCTTTATTTCCCTTTCTTTTAGAGATTCGGTTTATCAACGTCAAAAACACACTATTTCGATGTTCATCTACCTATCAGTTGAAAAATCGTTTTAAAAATCACAAAAAATTGTAATTGAATTTTTCAACCTGTAAATTTCTCATTAAAAAAAATTGTTAATTAAATGAAAAAAGTTGCTATAAAACAGTCAATACGCTTCATTGTACTATGATGCGCAAAGAATTGCGCAATGAAAACCCCACTCGGTCCCCTTAATGGAAGAGCTATTGCAAGAGCTTCGGTTCAACGTGAGTGTGAATTTTGATTTTTGCTTATGACGTTGTACTTGAACGGCGTTCAACGTTTGTGACGTCAAATAAAATGCATCCTTTGACCTTTTGACAAAATAAATAAATTATGGAATGTAACATTGAATGATTGAAATGAGGACAACATCTCAACGTGTTTGCAATTGGCAAAGAAATCTTTCGAACTTCAAAGAACATTGAAATTACAATCGTAAAGAAAATGAATTAAGGACATATGAGAACAGGATAAGTTTTAGCCTTCCAAATACGACTACCAGCTTTACAAGACAAAAACTGATAAAGATAACTTTTTCTCCGAAAAAGTATATTTGTGAGGAACAAGTGTTTTGTTGATGTCATTTAAAATTTGTTTTACCTTTTTTTCGATAGGGGTTATGTTCAGTCCTAGTTCCCTATTGCACATATCCCCGCGCAATGTAATATACATAAATTATGGTAAATGTCAAAGGAAATTCGGTGACTCATACGCATATGTTTAGCCCATAAATGCAGTTTAAAATTTGAAGTAAACCAAGCCCATTGGCTTCAGTTGATTTATTTGGATCATCCTCGGGGCCCCTGGTCTTTCCTTTTGCAGTAGTATGTAGGACAGTTCAACAATATATGTTTGAATCTTTTATGTTTTTACGTATGTGAAGCTATTTCCAGTCATGTTTAAAAATACCATGAAACAGATTCAACGCGGACACATCAACAGCTGTTACCCTGCATTTGTATTACCAAGCAGAAACAGAAGTTATCACCTGTTTGGTCTTCTCCAATGAAGCAATGGTATTTTTGGGAGATACATGATGAGGTTGTACATTGTGTATTTAAACATAGTAATTTAGAATAGTAATTTTTAGTAAATATTTGTTAGTGTTCTTTATATAAAAAATTGCTGTCTTGACTCAGTCTTAACTTTCTGCTATAGAAGACACATTCAGATCATTATCTAAAACACATTAAGTGCATTAAGGAGAACCAAACGTGAAACATACCAACTTTTGTTTGAAATTTTTTTTTTAACTCAACAAAAATGTGAATGTTATTCTCGATATTCATTAAAATTCTTCTTTTTTACTTTTTTACGTCAATTCTCACTCTGAGTTTTATCAGTTTTTTTTTCTTTTATGAAAAAATGTCCTTTTTTTTTATTTCTCTGGCTTTTTTAGATAATATAAATCTCAATTATATAAATTCCTTAATCATATCTCATTGCTTTGGATAAAAAGGAAATGACACTCTTGAAATCTGCATGGTCTCTCTGAAATAGAAAAAAAATCATTTAATATACATTATATATTTTCCTGTTTCGTGAATTTTAAGCTATTGACCACAAAATGGAAGTTGTACTGACTCTACTTTGTTCTTTTCCAAATTGGTGCAATCAATGTTCAAAGGTTATCATTGATGAAGCTGATATTGTAACAAAAGTAAACTGGGAGAATTGTACCACTGCGATGAACTATTATATGACTGTGATGAGTAGTCCCACGAAGATTCTTCTGTATGAAAACACCACTTCCTGCTGTGAGGGACGCATAAATATTACTTACATTAAAGGTAACATATAAGAAATAATATATGTACATCTATTTGATATCAAGTAGATCTTAAAAATACTAGAATTTTGTTTATGCACTTTTTTATTCTTATAAAACTGTAGTTATCATTTACTTATATAATATTATGCATTCAAACTCTTAAATATACATGTATAATGTAATTGCAATTGTTCAAAATTATTTAACGCTCTATATGCCTAATATTATCATTATGTATGTGTGATAATCACTTTTGATAGGGAATGAGACAACAAGAAATAACATTACAACAAATTTCAATGAAGAAAGCTTGAATAATTCGACAAGTACAACCACCAGTTTTCTGACCCTGTTAGACGCCATGATGTCTAGTGAGGATGATCGACAAAATGGAAAGTGTAGAGGCGGATCAAAAAACAAAAACAACATCATAATTCCTACTGGCATATTGTCATGCCTTACTGTTATCTTTATTGTTACTTTTCTTGTATTGTCTTGTGTCAAAAGGAGAAAATAATAAAAAATCATTTTTTTAATAGATGAGGGATCATAATCATTGGAATACAGTTTGCTATCAAATAAGCCCGCGTGGCGCAGTGGTTAGAGCGTCTGCTCTAGAGTCGCGGGTTCGAATCCCACTGCAGGACGTGGAGACCGGTCCTTCGGATGAGACCGTATAAACCGAGGCCCAGTGTCGCAGTAGGTGCTGGCACGAAAAAGATCCCTCACTGCTCAAAGGCCCTGAGTGTCGAGCATAGGACAAAACAACGTTAAACAATATACAATCAACCAATCAAATGCTATACTTTAAGGTCAAGATCTAGTAAATGAAAGATGCCTACAGATTTATCAAATTTAAGAAATAAATTAATTTGATGATTCTTTACAATTTTAGCTTGGTCAAATAAGGTGTTTCGGTGCATAATTTGAAGGTAAACAAGATGAAAAACTGTATTTTGAACTGTCATTTTCAATGAAAAATTAAGAAAACCAGTCATAAATATGGAAGTTTTTTTTCATATTCGACAAAGGAAATGTATCCAGATTGCCTACAGTCTATCAGAAAACGGTAATTAGTTCGTTCATGGCCTTTTCTTTAAATCAGTATCAAATTTAATACAGGTATCCGGTTTACTTTTCATATGATTTGAAATTGAATGTCATGGAAATACCCTATTTTCTACACAATTCTACTAAAGCCGTAAAGTTCGGGAAAAAGAAAGTTGAAATTGATTATGACGTCATAATGGATCTAGCACCAAAAAAGTTAGTCTAAAGTTATTTACTAGATCTTGACCTTAACACACTTCTCTATATCAATTAAAAAACTTCCATGACGTCACCCATTGTTATTAGTCTACGTATATTTTACCGATTCAACCAGCACTAGTTGGATATTTGAAGATCCAACTGCCTATCAGTTGGATATTTAAATACCCAATTGAGGTGCAGAAAACATAAAACAATGAACAAAAGAGAAAAAACAGTTTAAAAATGTATTTCCAATGCATATGAAAAAAAAAATTATTACTCCAAATTTTCCACACAATTAGAATTAATTTCCAGTGCACACGGAATTACCGTAATTACTTCGCATTTATCACATTTATTGTGTTTCAAATGCACTTCCAATGCTCACAGAAATAACAATTCCTCCGAATTTTGCACAAGTTTAGAAATGTTTTCGGTCTTAAATTTTGAAAGCATCACTTTTTGACACATAAATACATATTCATCTTGAATCTTAAACTGCATCACTTCTTTTTTGCTGAATATCATTTCAGGGTCCGTTATCAGTAAATTCCTTCAGATTATCCGAGATTCATCTCTGTTTCATCTTTTTCCGGCGTACTTCCAAAAAGAACTGAAATAATTGACAGCCCATCTATTTCTCGACACCATTTTCATTGCAGATCTTGATATGGAATTTTTTACAGCTTTTATCAAAATGCTGTAGTTTTCTTCACTTTTCAGGTCAAAAGTATTCAAAACAAATCTGAACCTCTCTAAATTACAATGGATTTTTAAAATTTTCTTCGTCTGATTTCATGACTGTTCAGTACAATGAAAAGGGTTGAAATGAAATCAGCACCATGTATATAGTTTCATGTTCACTAGTCCATGAATAAAAGGGGTGTTCGGTTAGGCTATTGTTTTGTGTCACGGTTGGATATTTGAATGGGCTACATTCTAGTGTATTACAGCAAGTTGGATATTTGAATGGGTAAATGCATATGTTTTTTTCGGGCCCAATTTTTTTTTAAGTAAGATAGATAACGAGATGGTGTTGAATAGTTTAGAGAA